GGCTCAGTGCGTTCGTTCGAATATCAGCGACAATGGCACAGAGCGAACCGGATAAAGTCGAGAAAGAGCAACCGCAAAGTGAAGCAATTAGCACTGGATACGACAAGGAAATACCTCAAAGTGAACCGAATAAAAATTTGCCACAAAACGAAAATTTGATCAAAAATGATAAACAAGCGCTGCAAAACGAACAAAATGCGATTAAGGAGAACAAAGCGATCAGCGAGAATGAACTTAATGAAATTATGCTGAAGGTTTCTCTTTGAAGTTTTTGTTTCGTTCAATTCGTTTTATTCCATTCTTCTCATTTCATTTGCATTTTACATTTCATTTCATTTTTATTGATAGCAGATAAGGATTTGAGAATATCAGCGTTGTTTTCTCGAGCTGTTCCATTGAACGAGCTGGCGATTATCGTTTGCTTTTTGAGTGTTTCTAGTGAGCATTCAGAAAATCCATTTGCAAAATAGGTTGGAGATTTGTATTGCTGACATGAATCTGAGCTGGGCAAGATTCGCTCTTCAAGTGCAGTTGAAAATAATGATTCAGTTGTGATAGAATTCGATAAAGGAGAAGTGAATATTGAACGAAGTTGTTTGATATGAAGTTAAATTTTGAAGTATGCATTTGAAGGAACGAGCGCATTTATTTACACGGCGTGAAGGTTTCTCGTATCATTATGTGCATATTGAGTGGCGTAAAGGAATCCGATTCGGTCTCGTCATTAAAGCTTATGAACAGTATATTCTCGTTTGTAAACTCGATCCGTCGTCGTTGTCTTCCGAAAAACTGAGGGTGATTTTGTAGTTTTTATTACTGTCTTTGACACTTCTATTATTGCCGATTTCATTGTATGCTTTTGTTATAATTCACCATTGAAATCACTTATCAACGCTGGTATAATTGATTATCTTTACGATAATTCCATTTTCATTGATGGCAAGCATGCGTTTGAGAATATCAACTTTGTTTTCACCAGCGATTCCACTGAACGAGCTCACAATTGTCGTTTGCTTTTTGAATATTTTCAGTGAAGATTCGGATAACCCATTTGCAAAATGGACTGGAGATCTATGTTGTTGACACGAATCTGAGATTATTCAATTGTGTAAATGGTTAATAATAATATCAGTAGGGAGTGATGATACGTTCAGTCCTTATTGATATCATTTTTAACTTATTATTACTTCCCTCGGCCTTGATCAACGCAATATTATTACTATTCAATAAAATTCAGTAAAGTTAATAATTTAGATTGGTGATCGTTTAATAGACGTTGACGGTAAACCAGTAACCAATAGAACCGATGCAAAGAGAGAGCTTGTGAATGCAATTAAGAACAACAGAAAAGTTTGTTATTTGTTTAGTTTTGTTGGGTTGTTACTATTTATTTACTGCT